GATATCCAGTATATAACTTTTTCACCTGGCTCAAACTTTCCATTGATTTCTTTTTTAGCACCTGCAAAAAATTAGAATGCACTGGGGCTGAATGCTCTCATTGCCATAAATGTGTAGTTGCCATGTAAATACAAAACTAAAATGTGCAGAGATTGTATGTAGCTGTGTTCGCGGTAAAATAATTATCACTTGCTAAAAAGGTTGTTGAGCATGTGACCAATTGGCATGAGTTCTACTAACTCCTAAAACTCTAGATCATATAATGCTTGTGCATGAACTCCAGACTTGTGCATGCAAAAGGAGACCGTACACCTAATTACACTTGACTTCTGAATCACACGGTCTCTACTAAAAGTTGGTCTACTAGCTCCTTTGCAAAAATTCAAGACAAAATTGCAGAGCTTACCACTAGACGGAAGTTCCAATGATCTGCATGCCACTTGAGCGTCTTCGTCAGTCCATTTATCGTGACATACTGATCTCCATTCATTTCTTATTCTTAGTTCAATAATTCCAGAATAAAGAGTTGTGGTTTTAACCAGCCTTATTCCAACATCATCATTATCTGTAATAGTTTGCAAGTACAATTGTCATGTAAATCACACAATCACCAACACCATTGATACTGTGATGTGAAAACTCTGTGCTTTCATTGTTTGGCATGTGTGTTATCTACTTGGTCTGCAAGTCTATGTATTGATTGACCTATAAGCTTGAGCTGTTGGCATTCGAGTGTAGCAAGGATGCTACTAAGGCCCCAAATGTTAGGCATGCATTTGCTACAGATGCGCATGTACGTTATTACACCCCGGTCTTGTTTAAGTGCAGAGTTGGTGCAGAAACACTAAACAAGTGTGCAATTAGGACACCAAGAGAATACAGCTGCTTTATTCAACATACCCAGACAGTGGACTCCAGCCCTTTCTCTCCTACCACAGTTATGGGTGTCTTTATGTGGACAATCAAACAACGACAACTCATCACCCTTACACTGTACATCATCTAGCCAGTATTGCACTTCTTCACCATCTCTGAATATTCCCCTACGATATGATCCAGCAGCTGAATAAAGTAGAAATCAAGAATAATATCCATTTAACTTTCCCTTTTAACCCTCGCACTTATGTGCAGTGATGGTAATACTAAAGTCATTCTGTCAAAATGTCTGTTACCGCGTTTTCTGCCACCACACACAACAACTGCCTATCACTTGAAAATTACGTCATGAATCGTGTTTACCGTTATGTTGACTTTATTCAGCGTTTACTACAGACAGTAGGACTCTGCTACACTGTTCAAGTGCTACGAGCAAAAATAAGTGAAGCCAGCTACCAAGGAGCCTCAAGATTCCATTTCTTTACATTCCCATTACTTAAAAACAGGTTACTGCTTACTTGTACTCAGCCAGACTGCTACACACGGCTAAATATACAAGCTTTCTAGCTCTCAAAGATAATTGAGACTGGCACTATTCACAAAAAAACGAAACCAGAAACTGGTTAAGATCACGCTGCCACAAAGTTCGTGCGCACGCTGGACGACAATCATACGTCATACAATATTGTCAAGAATGGCTTTGATGGGCTCAATTTGCAGACACGCATACTGGCTGACAAAGCAAGCAAATTTCAGTGGAAAATACATTCGTATTACATGTTCAATCTGAGAGCAAGTGATATTATACAGGTGCAATAATATGCATACCATAAGGCAAGAGTCCCAGTTGTCGACAGGCTACCTTTGCATCTTCATCGGTCCAATAATCATCACAAACTGATCTCCATTCACAATTGTGAAGTACCTCAACCAGGCCAGACGTTTCATTACCATGAACAAGACGAATACCCGTACTTGCGTCTGAAACTAAGAAATGTAAATGAATTGGTATGGTTGAAGCACCAAAAAATAAAGAAAAGGCCCAAAATTACATAACACAATAGTTAGAAATTGAGGTCGTGAAGTCGATACGTGTTAGAGCCCGTTGCGTTATGGCATTCCTTCGATTTAGAATTTACACACACTTGTTTTGCATGCACGGGTTGTGCGGGGAAATGGCGCCGCGATCACTTGACCTCAATGTGAGTAACCTCTGGATTTAGTAAATACGTTTTCATGTGTGAGTGTGTACTAAGATAATAATAGCAAACCAAGCCTACGTAATTGTTCCTTCAGCTTATACATATAAGATGATGCACCATACACCATGTTAGTGTGCATGCACTGAGATGAAGATTTTGCGGATTATTATTTTGGTGTCATTCTTTCAACACTTGAAAGCACATAATCTCATGAGAATTTGAGTAATTCACAACACAAAGCTCACCAGTGCAATTTCTTCCATCGCCGCAGTAGCCTTCTCTGCATGTGCATATGTAACAGCCTTCTGTATTAGTACAGATAGCATTTTCGTCACAGTCGTCCAAACCAAGTGCACACTCATCAATGTCTGCACAGGAAAAAATTGCATATACCAACGAACGGATTATTATTTTGGTGTTGTTCTTTTGGCACTTGAAACATGATGTATTTATCAGATATGGAGATGTTTTAGGGCTTTTCTGAATGTTTGATGGATGGCACTGGTAAAATCTCACTTGATATGCATTGACTCATAATATACCTCCAAACCTACTGCTTAGATAGCTACACAGTATGTCCATGCACTTCTTTTCTTCTTCTTCAGTAAGGTGAAGTATAAACTTACATAAACATTATCAACACTTATTGCTTGCTGTGCACTGACTCATAGCCAAGGAGCTTACATGATGCCTAGAAGCCAGCTTGGTTTTTTTTGCATGTAATGTACGTTCTTAGAAAATAGTAGTATGATCTAATGCATACCAAGGTGTAGCTACACTGTCAATGGCACAATGCTCATAGAATAATATACCTGTGCAATTTTTAGTATAACCAAGGCAAAAAGGTTTTTCAGGATTACACAGTTCACAGTGAGTTCCACTTCCAAAGTAGCCATCATTACACATGCACGAGAAACTGCCACAAGTATTGATGCACATAGCATTTACATCACAGTTGTTAAGAGTGGGATTTTCACACTCATCCATGTCTGTATTGAAAGAAAACAATGTAGCTAACAAGAGTACACAGCATTAAAAGATTTATTACCTTCACAGTCATTTCCTGTGTAGCCTAGGCAGCACATGCAAAAATAACTACCGGGAGTATTGACGCATTTAGAACAGTTTCTAGTACAGTTTTGAGTGTCCATAGCACACTCATAACTGCATTCGGAAGTTCCATTGGTACAGTTGTGAGTAGTGTTCATAGCACACTCATCAATATCTGCACGAAGCAAATACAGTACATGAGCCAATTATAAAGTCTCCATACGACTTTGTTACCTGTACAATATCCATCTTCCCCACAGGAGTATCCAGGCTTGCACATGCAGTAGAAACTTCCTTGTATATTTTTCCACATGGAATGTTTCGTACAGTTGGGCACATTCATAGTGCATTCATCAATATCTGTGTATTGAAATGAGGAACATCATTAAACAAGCCATCATGGAACCCCTGATACCTTTGTAACCAGTTTCATCTTTAGTGTAGCTGTTATTGCATTCACAAGCAAAATTTCCATCTTGTGTACATCTAGTCCCTTCAAGGCAGACATTAGCTGTGGTACAAAACGAAATGTACATCATTTTAATGCAGATTATTTACCCTCGGCACACATGTACAGTGAGTGTTACAGTACTTGGTCAGCTGGTCTCGTGGTCTGTCTGTCTGTCTGTCTGTCTGTTTGTCCATCTGTCAGTCTGTTACCGCGTTTTCTGCTACCGCACGCAACAAGGCAGAAAAAACAAGAGGTACATACACTTTGGGTGTGATATGAACATGGGGAAGAATAATACCCAATTAGGAGGTATAGCAATATTCCTTGTTGTTTGACCCAACCATGTGACAGCTGTGAGTAAAATTTTCATGCATAGTTTGCTTATTCAGTATCCCTACATACAAATAGTGGAAAAGGCTTACTTGAACAGATAACTGTAACAGCCTCAGCAAGGGTGCAGTCATGTTCTCCAATGTTATTATGTGCACAGTTATCCAAACGCCCTTCGTCTCCCGTACAATTCACTTCATCCAACCAGAATATCCCATCTCTCACATTTGGACAAATTTTACCTTTCTCTAAGGAGGTTAAGAGGACATGTAACTATAAGGTTGCTAATTATACACTGACTCACCTCCACTCTCGAAACAAAATTGCTTACAGACAACTTGGACATTATTGTCATTTGCTCCCCACTGGTCATCACAGACCAATCCCCAGGTGGAGTTATAGCATATTTCAACTAGCCTTTCATTCACACCAACCATTTCTATTAAACGGATTTCTCCATCCTCACATCCTGTAGAAAAACACAATTATTACTTGGGTGAAGGAGTGAGCCAATGCACTCATAAAGCCACACAATTTCATATGGCAATAACGAGTGCAAAACACATTCCAAATGGGATACTGGAATGGCTCAAAGTGCAACAAAAAAGAAAGAAACAAGGTGCACCACTGCTTGCACACTACACTATTGGAGACTTTTCTATCTTGCACGAAACTATAATTATGCCATGCTTATGCTCTGTTATAAACCCACCTTACATCCCTGTTTCATTCATGTTGTAGATATCAACTTGTAGTGTGGATAGCTATTGTACTTATGCATCATGACTACCAAAGAGAAACAAAGTGTAGGGGGGAGTATGATGACCTGTCTTCAATAGCACTTCTGTTTCCCTTGTTTTTCAAACCTTTTTTCTCCGCTTGTATCATAAAACTGACCTTGGCATAGGTCAGTGACATCTTTATCACCAATAAACCATGTCACACTGCAGTCACCCAAATCAACCACACATTCAGCTTCCACCAGTCCAGGGCAAGTAGCATTATCACAAGGGCTTTGTGGGCAACTCACTGACTTTGAGCATCCTGCAGGACAAGCGATGAATGTACAACATAATATTTTTTGTTTGTTATAATTAATTGTGTGCTATTCAAATTCTGATTGTCACGACTAGTTTCATCAACCACTGCTGTGTACCTCACTACAATTTTTCCTATACAGATACTGATGAGTGTGCAGAAGACAGTCACATCTGTGATGAAAATGCAACTTGCATGAATACTATTGGCACTTTCAAATGTGAGTGCAATAATGGATATATTGGTGATGGGAAGACTTGTGAAGGTAACATAGCTACAGGGTAAAACATGAGCAAAGTGTACTGGCACCCAGTGTCCTGCTCTTATGTAATGTCTTGTGTGTTTGTGTATGTGTGTTTTGTATGGGGTTTGTAAATAATTATGGTGGTGGGGGTTTTCATTTACTTCTCTATCTATCTATCTATCTATCTATATATCTCTCCCTATGGCGGGTATGCTACGCACTATAATTTCATGCAGAGTGTTGTGGGTTCGAATCCCACCTAGGGCAGCTATTATTTTTCAAAAAAGAGCTTCCTGGGTGTAGTTGATTTGTTTGTTGTGCTTTTGCCTTTCTACCTCATAGTTTTCACATGCAATACATTCCATTCTACAAGTATTATTATGGTATTAGCTACCTGGCATTTGTTTCAACAAGGCCTTTTATGAAATGCCTCAAAAACTAGTGCCACAACAGTTTCACCATTTAATGTGTCTGAGAAGAGCGATAATGCTAATGAGATTTGATACATCATGGAAGGATCACTAAGTACGGTACCTAGAAAATAGACTTGTGGGGAGTTCTCTTTCTTCTACTTCCGATTCAACACTCATAACTCAAAAAATAACATAGCATACAGTAATGGAATTGTAGATATCTGTCACTCAAAGAGACTGGTCATACCTAACAAAGTGATAAAAATTAATAGAGGGCTGAAGCCCGTAAACCTTTCGTTGGTATATGCAATTTTTTCCTGTGCAGACGAAGATGAGTGTGAACTTGGTTTGGACGACTGTGATGAAAATGCTAACTGTACTAGTACAGTAGGCAGTGACATATGCACATGCAGAGAAGGCTATTGCGGCGATGGAAGAAATTGCACTGGTGAGCTTTGTTGTGAATTACTCAAATTCTCATGAAATTATGTGCTAAAAGAACGACACCAAAATAATCCCGCAAAATCTTCATCTCAGTGCATGCACACTAACATGGTGTATGGTGCATCGTATTATATGTATAAGTATGTATATGTACAGACCTGCGCATGTGTTGACATTATTAAAGTGGAAAAATCATTTCTTCAAAATGAAGGGGGATATAGGGATGGCTTGAAGCACCAAAAAGGAAGAAACAAGGGGTCATTACACAGCAAAGATGCACAAAGCTACATGACACCATCCCTATATCTTTGTTTTATATTAAACTTTGCTTATAAACAAAAAAACAAAGATATAGGGATGGTGTCATGTAGCTTTGGGCATCTTTGCTGTGTAACCCCTTGTTTCTTCCTTTTTGGTGCTTCAAGCCATCCCTATATCCCCCTTCATTTTGAAGAAATGATTTTTCCACTTCTTTCCACTATTATTAACAGCTTATGACAACACCACATTTTATTGTTACAGTCACTCTGATGTTCATGGGTGTATGTTGTAGATAAGCTACCATAGACAAACTCTAACTGTTGAGAGCAATTGCTAATGGGCTGCTAGTGCCAGAAGCAGGGGCTAGATACCAAACTCACTTCAACAAGGATGTAATTAGGTTATTGCACATGGTTGTGGTTTCATGGGCAGGCCTCGGTTGGGGCGTGGGTGGGGGGGGGACAAACCCGACAAAACTCCGACGTAACATCATCCTGTTTTGCGCACGCTCTGGGAAGCGTTTGTGTAAATGTTTTGGCAAACGTTCGTTAAAACGTTTTGGCCAACGTTCGTTGATGGCGCATGCGCATGCGCGCGGCTCACTGATGGTGAGTTAGCAGCAAATGGCGTTGTTCAGTGTCGACCATGGAAGAGCTCCCTGATCTTCCGTAGTGACTTGCGGCAAGAAATAAACGATCGCTTGATGTCCGTGCACACCTCCGGCGAATTTGGAGACGTTCCGCGAAAAATCAGCGCTTCAACTGGTTCTGGTAAGGAGATAGCGGGATTGAAGAAGAAGAATATGACATGATTATTAGTAGAAAAACACCAAGAAACATGGAGCGTTTAGGTACACGCACACCAGCACAAACATACAGTGTGGAGGTAAAATAGATATCGACATTGCTATCTACTAGACTGATGCACAATGAACGCCTCGATGCTACACGTATCACAGGAGTAGCCTTCTTGTTTGTAGAGACAGCACTTAGGAGCTTCAAGGTAGTAGGGGACATGCAACTTCCAATCCTTTTATCTCCCCCTTTGACCCTATATAGTTCTCAGCACACAAACCCTCGGCGAACTGCGCATGCTAATTGATGGGCTGGAGGCATGGTCTCCCGCTAGTAACTCGCGGAGAATCTGACACGGGCTAGCTACAGCATGCGGGAGTCGATACATGCCATTCTTCGTGACTTCCTGAGCCCCCAAGGTACACAGAGCGAGCGGATCAGGTCGCGGTAAGCCCAGTGCGATTATGCATATTGGCTTTTTCGCTTGTTTTCACGGCATATCTCTCGAACGCAGTCGTTTCAGCAAAATCGCCCTTTTTTTTTCAGGCTCGCGTAGTTCTGAAGCCGCTGGTATCGCTAATGGGCCGCCTCGTAGCCTGTAGTGCCAGAATAAGCGTCGACACACACACACAGACAAGACAGACAGACAAACCAACTACCGTAACCCTCTCTGCGCATGCGCGCCGAGGGTTTAATAAGGCTTCTGCAGGGACCGACCGCAAGGGTTCTTTGGGGGCCACATTCATGAGGTTAATTTGTAGGGTAAACCACGTTAACGAGTGTTGGTGCAGCTATGCAGGCTGAGCACCAATGCCCTGGTTAGCATGGGACAGGCAGAGGTTTCCAGCAGTCATGCGTAATCACATCCTTGACTATCACACTTGGCCAACTGGGATGCAAGAGCTGTGCCCTTGCCATGTTTCCACCCTGTGCGCCCCTGCCAGTTTGGTGGTAGGAATTGTTAATGCAGTTACCTTCATAGCTTTTAACTCCTACGAGTAAACAGATGATGAGAAAGGCTGTGAAGTTGAAAGTCATCTTGCAACACTTGAACTCCTCCATCCATGCGCCGCGCCACCCGATCCTTACACGTAATGCACGACGTTTACGAGGCGCCGTTTGTTCCAAAACTAATTCTCCAAAAATGCATAGGTAATATGTCCACTATATATAAATTTGCTGAAAAATTTAGGATATGTACGACGACATTTATAAATCGCCCATGATATTTATAAATCGACCAGAGAATAAAGCTGCGGGTGTGGTGTGCGCATGCGTAAAACTCCTGAAACGGACTCCGGCCTACCGCCTTCTTATGGCACTCAAGCGTTCTTTGCCACGCCTCCCGTGTCAATTAGATTCAGTGGAGTCATAAACGTCACGTCGAAATGTCGTCGATTTTGCAGCAAATTTATATATAGTGGACATATTACCTATGCTTTGTTCGAGAATTTGGAACCAACGGTGCCCCGTATTACGACGTAACGTGCGTATAGAACACTAAAGTGCCGTTTACCCGCGGTCTCCTCCCGCTAGTAGCTCGCGGAGTCTGATACGGGCGAGCTACGGTAGTAGATAGCATGCGGCAGTCCATACACGCCCTTCGCTGTGGCTTCTTGTGCCTCCAAGGTACACAGAGCAAGCGGATCATGTCGAGGTGAGCCAGCAGCATGAGCATACCGCGTTGATCGCGTCTAATATACGCACGCGCACCGCTTATTGATGGGTGTTGGGCCACGCAACGCGGTCCGTGACCGTGCCAGTTTGCTGCTCTCGAAAGCAGTCGTTTCAGGAAAATCGCCCTTTTAGTTTTCAGGTCCGCGTAGTTCTGAAGCCGCTGGTATCGCTAATGGGGGCCGCCTCGTAGCGCGCCGAGGGTTAATAATCGCCACGACGCTTGTGTGTATATACCTCATGCATGAAGGGTTCATGCATAACATGTGTCTTGGTTGGAATACCCGAGAAGGTTTTGATGCCTTCGACCCTTCCCAAACTAGTGCATTACCACCCACCCTGGTTGCTCCTATGCTGTGTGTTCCATACTATTTAGTTCAGTTTCTCATGAGGGTTGAAGCAATTACCACCTCTCATGGACTACTTGGTGAAGTCAATATCTAGAAAAATGGCTAATTGCGCATGTGCAAAGAAATTTCCGCGCCGCAAGCCGTCAGCCGACTGTGCACGTGGGCGTTCTGTGCCGGCCCGGCCCGCCCGCCCCATGGATTGGGCATTGAGACGTTAAATTTTTCGTGTGCGCGCATATATACGGTATCTAATTAATTATTCATGAGTCTCCGTCCGGTTGAAGCCGGTTTCCCAGCGATCGTTTCCACCACTTCCTTCCAGGAGATCCACTAACGGAAGTAGTTACTGGCACATTCCTTACTATACTACACAATACAGTGATGTGCGCAGAGCCACCACGCGTCCTCCGCAACTGAGCAGCTGTTATCTTACCATACCGCAAAAGGAGTTCAAAGAACCGCATAGTTTGGACAGTCACACTGAAGCCCTGTAAGTTTTCCTGCGCAGTACTACACTAGAAACGGCTTGCATAAGAGTAAAACAGTTGTGAAAACAAAAGCTTTTAGTGGCGCCACTCCAAATAGCAGGGAAAAAGCCAGTACAAAATATGTACATAATACACAGGCTTGTCACAGCTATGGCAGACTGGCACAAGAAACAGCTCGATCTCCACTGTCGTGTGTGTGGAGGAAGAGCCAAGAGAGCCAGATCTGGAAGGGCCACTCGACAGTACACCTGCCTCTCACAGAAGGAAGGTCTCCAGTCAGTGTTTGGCATCTCTGTGGAGGAAGATGACCATAGCACTACACCCAACATTTATGTGTCGCTCATGCTACGATACCATCAGTAAGCACCGCACACCATCAGTCAGGCCCTTTCAGTGGATGGTACATCAAACAGAGAGCTGCAGTGTAAGTGAAAGCAACAATCTGTAATCTGCTTTAAAAAACAAAACACAAATTAGGTATGCAACCACTTCGAAACAACAAGGAGAGGTGGGCGGCCGCTGAATGCTGTCTCTTTCCTCGACCACAAAAAAATAATATGCCACAACATTTTTACATGGTAGCCGGCAGGTCTGCCCACCAGCACTGCACATCACATTGGGCTTCTACGCCTCTTCACCCTGTTGAGAGAGATGCTGCCATCAACTGGACTTAGTGCTGCACTGCATACCTCGTCTGCCTCATGGCCAGCTGCTCTGGAGTCCTTCAGAAGACTACTCGAAAGCTTACAAGAAGTCACCGAATCACAGACCAGATGAGGAAGAGAAGAGTGGTTTGAGTGGGCTTGACACAGTGTTGCGGCCCATACACTGTGTGGCAACAAGCGGACTTCCTCCGTCCGGCGTCGTGGTACATTACGCTATTCGTGCGAAATACGCACGAACACGATACTGAAAACGCTACCCAAACGTAGCTCGCTAAATTTCCTATGTTCCACTTCAGGCGCCTGCAGCTAATCACAATTCACAAATTTCACACAGAAACACCCTAGTGAACATAGTGTACACTGGAGTCACTGTACAAAAGGTGATAATAGTGTTCATTACGAAACTGGGTGTGTAATATCTGAGAAAGAGATTAGAGGTCTAGAAAATTACAGTAAGCATCAAATGAATCCAAATAGGCCAAAATCGCTTCAAACAACAAGTGATACTGGGTCTGTAAAAAAGCAAGATAAACAAAGTACAATTTACTATGTGATAGATAACCACCACAGTGATGACAGCTCCAGGTTTCTGTATCCTGAGAGCCTTGATCACCTGGAACACATCCACCACTCCCTCTGTTTTACACCTCTCAATGGTGGTGACTATGGCACAGAACATCCCCGACCTACCCACTGTGTCACTGCAGAATGCAAACGAGACATTGTTGAGCAAAACCACTACCTTGTAGCCATCTTCCCATGCCCAAGATAGGCTGCTGACAGTATATACCTCAACAATACAAGAAAGACACACTCAGTGAGGTTTGATAGTTTGCTGGGCAGCATGGCTAGGGGGAGGACTAGAGAATGCAGAGGTTCCAAAAGGCTGGTGACTATGGCGCACCGTTTGTGTCAAAACGATTTTTTCCGTAAACTTCTGTAATCGGGGTGACAAATCTTTTTCAGGGCGACGAATCGTTTTCGCGTCGACAAATTTCTATGGCGACAATCGTTTATCAAGCGACAGAATTCTGCCATAAAGGCTTGGTTTGAGGCGGTGACCATCTAAGGCGATCACTGAGACGTTTTTTTGTGATCGGGAGGGAGAGTTGAAAGGTCAACTTTCCTAGAGGGCGCCTGTAGCCAATACAGTACATTGATTTGTCCCTTCCAAAGTCCTGCTGCTATATACTGGTTTCGAGTAAGTTAACTTTGAACTCTCCCACCTGGATCACGAATAATCGTCGCAGTTAGAAAATTATGTGCCGCATAATTGGTCGTCTCCCTAAATCCAAGATTAGTTCCCTTGAGAAGCTTTCGTCGCTTGTTAAACAATCTTAGCCGTAGAAATCCGTTGCCACGAAAGAAGAATCGTCGCTACGAAAGGAGAATCGTTGCCCAGAAAACGATTCGTCGCCACGATTACTGAGATTTATATACGGCAAAAAATCGTTTTGACACAAACAGCGCCATAGGTGACCACTGTTCAGGACAATGACTCTCCATTCCATGGACTGATAGCCACATCCCACAAATTCAATGGCCCACTACAGATATTGTTGACAGCTGTCCCTGACCTGCAGTGTACTACAACAGGATGGTTGCCAGTTCTCCTCTGAATTGCAGACATCTCATTTATCACACTGGTGATGGTGGCCAGGTGAGAGCAGCTGCCATCAGGGACTCCAGTTAGTCATGTGCAACTGAACTACCTGGTGGGCACGGCTTGCCTGTATAAAAATAACCCCAAATTATATTTTCTACCGTAATATTATTATGAAAACTTTCCTCAATACCTTCTCACTATAGACGCTTAATTTGCGCATGATGAATCCCTCCATGACATTTTCCTCCATCAGATCAACCTTGTAGCCTACAAACTGAATCAGTCCAGTCTGAGGCCAATACTGGTAACACGTCTCCTGCAGTTTTCAATAGCACTTGTAGCTATGAGAGTCACTGTGCCAGAGTAGGGCTCGCTACCTGCCCATTTTCCACCAAGTCACAGAGCATAACAATGACTCCACACTTCCTGTCGTGGACCATCTTCCAGAAATCTCTGGCTGTGGACTCCATGGGACTTTGAGCCATGATGAATGCTCTCTGTTGCTTGTACCCCTGCAAATAGGAAAAGAAAAATGCAGTTGATGAAATAAAAGTGTCACCAAAAGGAGTGCATACATTAACAAAAACGGCATGGATATAAGTCTGGAGATCTCCTCTTAGTGTCACACGCCAGGCATCACCTACAGTATGACAGAGAAGGAGAGAGAAATGATGATCAACACACCACAACTCTTCACCCACAAAGGAAACTCACACACATGAAGCTGGTAAAACTCACCAGGGAGGTAGTAGTCACTCCGATTCTTGGTGGGATTACGAAGAGCCTCATTCCTTGTAATCTCTTCTGGCTTTACAGAAACCTTCTCAAGTACCTACGCATTTAAAAAAATGCTCAGCTCAGTATAATCTACTGCGCATTCCTTTCACCTTAAACTGCTTTTCAAACTCATTGAGATTGGTTTGTGGGTCACATTCACTCATTCTCTGAGTAACTCTGCGGAGGTTACAGGCAGCATCAATTTGGGTATCACCGCACATCAGGACCTCAAGGATAGCATCATGGATGAAGATATATTGTTCCTGTGTTAAACAGCAACACTAAATATGGTCATTTATTTGGAATAGCTGTGCAAAGCATACTACTACACCGATGCAATTGACTGGAAATGAATCACAAATTCTATAGTGGGTTGTAGTGACATAGAAAAGGGTAACCTCCACACCAGATAGTGATACAAAGTTACATAAGCACTGTATGGCATATCCCATCCTTACTAGTTGCGCCACTCACCAAGCTCTGGACCATTTTCATTCTCTGTGTGCGGAGGTGGATGATGACACCAGCTATATCCACCACCTTCTCCTCTTGCAGCTGCTCAAGAACACAGTCAATAGTTATCAGAGTCCCTGTCCTCCCCACACCAGCACTGTTTGAATAGGCAACGGAATCGTTTAAGCTTTTACCATGCAAATTCTTGTACCTGCAATGGACAGTAATTGGTCCCATGAATGGCTTATGATGTTTCTTCACTTTCTTGTGGAAGGCCAGAAGTGAAGTCGCATAGTCAGGCACTCCATGGTCAGGCCAGGCTGTGAAGTGGAACTGAGTCACACTCAGAGCTGGTTCTGAACTCTCCGTCAGCTGTAGGAGAGACTCAATAATTATAACGATGCTTCTACACACCAACGTGTGCATTACCTGAACACTAAATTCCCGAGTGGTGTAGTCAGCCAGTATCTGTTGTCCTGTGATGGTGACATTGAAGGGGCCAAAGGACAGGGTCCCAGTCTCTGGCCAGTACTTGTGACACTTGATCCTATTTCCCTCCACCAGATTGGTGACCATCACAATGTTCCGAGACCTCTCCTGCCACACCATCCTCCAGAAGTCAACAGTTGTGTTAGGCAGTGGTCCTAGTAAACACCTTGCATCAAAGACAACCTGGCTACTATTTTGTCTTACCTTGTGTTGCTATGAACTTGTGCTCAAAATTGTAACCCTATACATAGCAGTGAGCAAGAGTTTACATAGGTGTTACACTCGTGCAGTAGATTCAAGACAACTGTACTGCACACTTAAGATTGTACTTAGTAAGATAGGGATCCAGCTCACATCAATGTAACTGGCATTAATGTAGTCTCCTTTGTACTCAGTGTGTCTTTCAACTGCCATGAGGAAGACCCTGTTATTTTCATCTGGATTGACATGTTCCACAATGAATATAGCACAGATGGCAACAGTAATGCCTTACACGGCATGATATTGGCAAATCTGTTGAGCTTTTGCAGACTTGTGTTAGATCCAGCAATTGTGGAAAAGCCTGCACCACAGTCTTGCATCACCTGAAACAGAGTCCAGGTGTAGTTTAGTGCTGCCTTGTGCATGCAACTGCTCAATCCAATCTCACTGTAAACTGATGTTTGAAGTCCCTATTGTCACTGGAGTGACATCGGGTGACGTAATCTCCAAACATTTCTGCCAAGATTGGATCAAAGAAGGCATTTTTCTTCAGTGCAGGGGAGTCGTCACTTCCCTGAGAGAGAAATAAAAGCGAAGTATCCTCTGCTTGTATACTTTTCCCCTTACCTCAATGTCGAGCAAATATATGTCCTGATCCCCAGTCTTCTCTTCAATAGGTGCCATCGGTGGCTCTGTGATGGAAAACCAAAAACACAATCCGAGTCAGTTCGATTTTACGTCACTAAAAATTTAATCGACATACCGATCATTGTTGTCTCTGTGGAGAGAGCGTGCTCAATAGCCTCGCCGTTGTGGGAGACGTAAATGGGGTTAATGGGGAGAGAAGAGGGAGTGAACCCGTGGAAGCTTTCAAAACCAGAAGACAGACTCAGCCTCTCGAGGGACATCTTCTTTGACTTAGTACAACATCGCCTCCTGGTGAAAGAGAATTTCCAGATACATAATATAAAACACTGTTTATAGTTGGGGTGTGACATTAGTTTCAGGTATCCCGGTGTAGAAAGCTATTCTGTGCCTCGCTTGTGTGATTACATTAGCAATGTGTATATACAGTTAGGGTGTGACCCTAGTTAATCTGAAGTAACTCGGTGAAGAAAGCCATTCACCTCTCTTACAACCTTACATTACTTATATGTGTTCAGTAAGGGTGTGACTTACCGACAGACGCAAACACAGAAGACTATGATGCAAAACAGAATTAATGCTGTTATAATTGCCGAGAGAAGGATCAGTATCCAAGTATAGTCAAATCTGGAATCTGCAATTTGAGAATTGGTTTTAAAAACTCAAACCAAAAACTGAGGAATCTTACCGTTCGGACTTAAACCATCAGGGTTTGATACGGTTGGATCAGACGAGCCAGTAGGTGTCACACTAACAGATGAAGTTGCATCCAAAAGAGGCTCTAGGAAATTTTTACAAAGTATGCTTTTTATAACCTCTGTTTTGTGTAAAAATCTGTGGACATTTTCTAACCCTCGGCACACATAATTAAGACATTACCATCAGTAGCTGGATTAGTCTGCACTTTGGCTGATGTAATTGAAAATGAGTAGCCAGGTGTCACACTGACAGATGAAGTTGATACAAAAGCAGAATTTGTAATAAAAGTGTTCATAGACTCTCCAATTTGTTTATCAATAGGTGTTGAGGTAGGAGGAAGCATACTACCACATGTAGTTACAAATGGTGTAGTCCTTGCTGCATCTGGGGAAAATGGAGAAATACTTAATAATTTTACACTGATTCTGCATGATAAGGTTTTTAAAACTGGTCTGTATGATTGGTGAGTGAAGTGAGCCTACGTACCCTTTGGACTGTGCGTGGTTCCACAGGCTACTCATGTAGTTCCCACCCTTACCGTAATTTTTTTTATGTGATCCAAATACACACATGCACATAACTGAAACTTTGCAATCATTGCTCCATGCTCCAGTATATCTCGTGTTTGCTTGCCACAAATACATGTTACCACTAGACTGCTAGTACAATACTATCATGCACAATGATAACCCATTACCATTAGTAGATGCTGGTGGAGGAGATGTAACTACACCAACAGATGAAGTAGTGCACAATGAGCCAGTAGTTGCAGTTGCAACAGATGGGAGTGACTTTGTATTCGAAAAACCTGCAAAAAGAGTTTTCCAACTTTATATGTAAACTGACTCTAGACTAGTTAATTGCCACAGAATTATAAAGTTACAATGGACACATTTACACTAAGTACTCTATAGTGAGTCAAACGATCATATTTTCTTCTCTCCGAGGAT